AGAGAGAGAGAGAGAGAGAGAGAGAGAGAGAGAGAGAGAGAGAGAGAAAGCAAGAGCGAGCAACCAGGGGCGGGGGGAGCAGAGAGAGAGGGAGACACAGAATCAGAAGCAGGTTCCACGCTCCGAGCTGTCAGTGCAGAGCCCAATGCGGGCTGAACCCACCAGCGGTAAGATCATGACCCGAGCTGAAGTCGGACACTCAACCGACTGAGACACCCAAGTGCCCCGAAGACTTTCCTTCAGCCTTTGTACATTAGGAAATTTCTTTCATTTCATATTTGTGATAATTTTTTGAAAATAAGTTCTAAATTATTTTTTGAGGAATTTAATTTTTAATCTTTAATTTTTTTAAGTTTATTTATTTCAAAAGACAGAAAGAGTGGAGGAGGGACAGAGAGAGAGAGGGAGAGAGAAAATCCTAAGCAGGCTCCATGCTATCAGCCGGAGCACCATGCAGGGCTCGAACTCACAAACCATGAGATCACAACCTGAACTGAAACCAAGAGTCCGACGCTTAACTGACTGAGCCATCCAGGTGCCCCCTTAGTTTTTTTTTTTTTAATTTTTTTTAAGTTTATTTATTTTGAGAGAGAGAGAGTGTGTGTGTGAGAGCATGAGAGTGGGAGAAGGGCAGAGAGAAAGGGAGAGAGAGAATCCCAAGCAGATTCAGCTCACAGCCCAATTCCGGGCTCGATCCCATGAACCATTAGATCATGACCTAAGTAAGCAGAAATCCAGAGTCAGATGCTTAACTGAGTGAGCTACCCAGGCACCCAAATATGAAAGTTTATATTATAAATACCAATTTCATTTTAGTCATTCCAAGTGGAATACGCAGAGATTTCTATTTACTTCTTTCCTTACATTCCTTATGTAAAAATATTCTTAAACATCATATGACCTTTTTCTTGATTTTTGACTGTCTTGTCACAGAATACACACACCTGTGTGAAATACATACACACATTTTTGGATGAATCACTTACCTCAGAGTATTATTTATTTCCAAATACATTCAACTATATATAAAAGTGGCACCATATATATAAACCTTTCAAATTTTCAAAAGTTTCTTCAACATACCAGCACCATCTGTTTTAATTCTGTTTGATGGTATACTGGGCTCTCCTATACCCAACGTATTGGTTGCTACCACACGAAATTCATACTCCATCCATGGTATTAAATCCACTGCTCTTGCTGCCTCCATATTCCCTTCAATGATTGGGGGATCTAAACAAAATGAACATTAAAAAGAATATTAGTTGAACAGCATCATTTTCATAATCCTGCATTTTAATTTTACTATTTTGAGACAATGGCACATATTCCACTGAGTTGAAATAAAAATAAAAACTAGACATGACAAAATATTAAGTTCAAGGGAGTAAGCAGAGAGATCATTAATAAATAATAAACTACAGAAAGTGATATGAATGTGGATCATCTATTTCATAAGCCTAAGATCAGAGGGTTGAAATTCAGCACTCCTATCAAGCTCCCAGGTCATGCATTTACTGCTAATCCATGGACTCTACCTGGAATAGCAGGGAGCTGTATTCTAAAGGTAGAATCTAGAAAGATTTCCTGAGGGAAGAGCACAACTGGGACAGTTAAAAACTTTGGGGACATCCACTGACATTGTACATGGGCAGTGAATGATTTATTATTAGGGTACCTATATGTTTATACCCTTTTTTAGTTGGTTTTGTTGATTTTTACCCAAATCACTTGGGGCAATGATAACAAATGTTATAATAGTTTATTAAAAATTCATGCTCTTAGATAATGAAAAGGTTATAAATTATGGATAAAATATGATCCAACATTGCTTATTTCATTGAGATATGATAAAACAAAGAATCAAGGCAGACTACACAGTATTTTAAGCTCTCTTAAAATATTTCCACATGTGTTTTTAATAACTAACATATACATACATATGCATATAAATACTTGTACATCACTTGTTTGGAAAATGTGTTGCTTTAGGCTTGTCTATGACTCATTATCTTACTATTTAGGGAATTTTTTATCTGGCAATGCAGACCATGAATCTATAGTTTTTCAAGATGTTGTTCTCATCTCTACAATAAATGCCAAGCATCCCAGTGTCCTGGTTTCTGCTTTTGGACAAATTCCTGTGTGGCTCAGACCATGCCATGCCTCATCCTGCCATAATTGTAACTGTCCTGGATGCTAATTTTTCCATCTCTTCTCTTATTTTGTGATGAACTTGTTCTATACGTTTGATGTAATTTTTGACTTTCTGATTGAAAATTTGGCTCTGTCTTCGCCTGTTTTGATTCTGCCTCTTTATTTAATATTTCTTCCACCCTTTGTTCACAGCAGATCAGAATTTGCTTTACTTCATATACCCAAGGACTTCTTTTAGGTAGTTGGAGGAAGGAAGTGTAGTTTTAGTTTGTAAAGTGCTCTTCATAAAGAAAAGAAAAAAATATAGCTGGCTGTTATGACGCTGGGTAGCCCGCTTCCCGTCTAGAGACCTTCCAATAATTTTGAGCCTAGTATAAAAGAAAAAAATTTATAGTAGTGGGTTGAACTGTGCCTACCAAAAAGTTATATCTCTTCCCAAATTACAAGAACCTGTGAAAGTAAGTCATCTGGAAAACCAGTCTTTGTCTGTCCTTTGAAGATTAAGACCAGAATTATGTTAAGGATCCTGGGTAAGATTAGCCTGGATTATCTAAGTGGGACCTGAAACCAATAATAAGCATCCTTATAAGAGAAACACAGAGGAGAGACATATGTAGAAGAGGAGGCAATGTGACCACAGAGACAGAAGTTGAAGTGATGTGGCCACAAGCCAAGGAACATCTGGAGCCACTGGAACCTAGGAGAGGTAAAGAATACCTATTCCCTAGAGCCCCTGGAGACGGTACAGCCTTGCAAACACCTTGATTTTGGACTCTGGCCTCCAGCACTGTGAGAGTCTAAATTTCTGTTGTTTTAAGCAACCAGTTTGTTACAACAGCCCTAGGGAACCAATACAGAGTTTTAAAGTCAGAAGCTGATGGGATTATTTATGAGTTTGTGATCTTATGAATTTGGGGCCTAAGTAAAAACATATGGTAGAAGGCTCAAGGAGGCAGTCCAATCTTTCCCCTCCCTGTGCTGCAAAATCCCGGCACCATTTAAATGTGTATTTATTTTGAGAAAGAGAAAGAGAAAGAGAGGGAGGGACAGTGAGAGAAGGAGAGAGAAAATCCCAAGCAGACTCTGGATCTCATGACTGTGAGATCATGACCTGAGCCAGTATCAAGAATTGGATGCTTAATCAACTGAGCCACCCAGATGCCTTTAATCCCAGCATCATTTCAATGCCTGAAGAATGGGAACGTTGGAAGCCCTCCAAAGGGTCTCTCTTGACAAGGGTATGCTATTCTCATGATGGTCAAAGCTAACCAGGCTTTTTCAAGCAGCTGGGCAGCCAACAAGTACAGGCAAGAGTATGTTGAGTCAAAACAAGAAGAACCAGAAGGATGTGCAGTGGAAACTGTAGCTAAAAGACTGATTTTGAGCATGTGTGATCATCCAGTATGAAAACACCCCTAAATAAATGGAAGGTCGAGTATATGTTCAAAGAGTAGAAAATCAGACTTGACCACAGAAAATATTTGGAGGAACGGTGAAAGGTAAAGAAGGAAAGGTCTAGTGGGGTCATTTTGTGGTAGGCTTTGGATTCCAGGTGAAGCTGTCAGTCCTCTGATTTAACGACCGAGATGAAGAAAGAAGGAATAAGCAAATGCCTTGGAGTTACTACCATAAGATAAACACCAGTGAGAAACCATTGGCTCAGGGATGCAAACGACTTTCTCGGAAGGGGAAACAAGAAGTGGGTGGTTGGTAGGAAGATGGACTTCTGGAAGGCATCTTCTGAATGGGTAGGAAAGAATTTGGTATCTATAAGTTAAGGATAGTATTCTCTACCAGGATTGCTAAAGGCATGAAAAGTGCTCTTTCTGGAACAAAACCAATTATAATCATTCTTGTTAATATACATTAACATCAGTACTTACGAGAATGTAAATATCCCAAAGAAACATGTATTGGTGTATTTTTATAATACCTCCTAAATAAAACCATTTACATAAGCAGTAGGAATAAATTAAAAAAAAAAAAAAAAAAAAAAAAAGACTAACATTTTCATTTTAGAAAAATGTATCTAGAATTAAAAGTGGCTTCTATCATGCCTGTTTTCCATTCCACAAACTGGGGCAGGACTTTTGAACACCACATCATGAGAAGAGGATTTTAAAGCTTGCGAGAATTTCTCTAACTTTTTCCCAGCTCCCATCTTGACACAGGCAGTCCACACTAAAAATATTTCTTCTGCCTCCCCTTGTTTGTTCATTTGTGAACATCCACGTTTCTTCTACTTCTTCTACATGTTTTGGAATTCTCTGGGCCTAGTATACCTAGTATACTGTTTTGTAAATAATACTATTTAATAAATGTTTGTAAAAACTATACATAAAATATAAATACAAAAGTTACACTTATTTAGAGCAGACAGTGTTTCAATGCAAGAAGTACAGCCTTGTGTAGAACACTCACGATAGTCTCCTTCAACCCTGAATCATGCAGGCTACTGGTGAAAGACAAGAAGATGATTCCTTTACCCCGCCCCACCACAAAATATCCAACACTCTTGTGGCTTTGATGCTTATATTCAGTCTATAAATTATCTTCCCTTGTAAGGCAGTATACTTTGCCTCAGTCCCCTTAAGCCCTCTCCCGCTCTCTTTAACTGTGAGCTGATCCTTTCTCCTCTACTGCTACTGTTTGTTTTACCTCTATTATACATTTTTATTTGTTTTATTCTGGCCCTGAATATCCCTATAAATGGTTTTTTACCCCATGCAATTCTCCCCCAACTCCTTCAGTCCTGGCAGGAACTATTGGATATATTTTATTTTTCCAAAACCACCCACGTAGACAGGAGCAGAGTTCAGCTTTGCTTTGGAAGCAGATTCATACCCGGGCCGAATACAGAACAGAAGCAGAGGACATTGTGTCCCCTCTCTTCAGCCAAGTTCCTTCCACCTGTTTGTTATTCCTAGAGTCAGAAAGAGAGGAGAGCACTTTGCACAATTGACGCAAGTGCTAGGAATCAGGACTGGGGTCTCAAGATCCTGAGTTTTAAGTGGGTCAGTTCTGAGTCAGGCCATTGTTTAACAGATAATTTCAGTATTGAAAATCAGATCTTAACTGTATCATGACTGCCAGAGGCTTCTCCCTATAAAAACTATATTGAGTATTAACCTGATAGCTGTTTAAATCTTGGTTTTACTCCTGAGTGTAACTCTCAATCAAAGGGATACAGAGCAGGAGACATGCTCCTTACATTAACACTCAGGTCAAAAGACCCTCTTGAGAAGGTCTTACTTTAACAACCAACCATACACAATAATCCATAGATTCATTTGCAAATGCCTTGAGTCCCTGAGGCTCAGAATAAAAAGATTGTGACTAATCTTTGGAGGAAAAGAGAAGCAAGCCTCATGGGTATCCTAAGGCCAATAATTCACAGTGTTTTTGTTGCCTGGAAACCATGCTTATGGCACTCTGCCATCAGGCCACATGCACTAACTGAAAAGCTTCAGAAATAGCCGGAATGACCTCTGGACTAAAAAATATATTGTTTCAAGAATAACTCTAGGCAATGTCATCCCACCTGTTCTAGATTCTTTGAAGTTGCCTAGTGAATCCTGGTGTTTCCTTAGAATTTAAATACATTCAGAACCTTTAGGTTCTTCCCTCTCAATCCAAAATTCAAGCATTTGAAACAATCCAGAAGCCACTCAGAGGTTCTAAGTGATAAAGCAGGTCTGCATTTGAGAATGGAAAAGGGCATTTACAGGCTTCTCATCGGTTCTGCGTTATATTAGAGCCTTCAGACCCCACCCACAAGGTCTTGTGGCAGAACTTTGAAAGGAGCCATAGATTTGGCAAAGTTCTCCGCAGTGAAAGAGAGGCAAATTGTGCTCTGGCATCCCAAAAGATGTGATTCATTGATTTTTCTCCAAGGAAATTTTGAATGTAACCTCATAAAACCCCAGAAATTCATATCTGAAATAAGAACAACAAAAAGTGAGGCTACAGAGAGGCAAAAGAGAAAATAGTAAATTCTACAAAGTATCCTACAAGAAGCCTAGTGGTTTTTCTTTTCTTTTTATCTTTTTTTTTTTTTTGCATTTTTAAAAACCTAA